GATGGAGCTCTGCTGGTGTACCCCGATCCTCCCCCCAGAGCCTTGGAGCGCCAGGCCGGACAGGACGTCATCTCCCCGGCTCCAAGTTCAGCTGGTCACCTCGGAAGATCCTTCGATGTGCCGACTCGGAGGCTCAGGTTCCGGATACCAGCCTTGTGTGCTCAGAGCTCCGCTGGTCACTGCGAAGCTGGAGATGGGGACTTGCAGATGGCCGTCGCCAGACCCCGGCCGCGCTTAATCATGAAGGTTTAATCCCGATCCCACCCGGCAGCCAGGTGGACTGGACAGTCTTGGACGGACGGTGGAAGCGATTTTTAAATAAAATATTTTGTTTTTATACAAAAAATGTTTTAAAAAATTGCTGAAGCGATTTAAAAATGATTTTTTTTTTACACGTAAAATGTTTTTTAAAATCGCTTCCACCGTTCGTCGCAGACCCGTCTCTGTCCACCTGTCTGCGCGGGTCGGGCCTTCATGATTACGCGCGGCTGGTGTCTTGGAACGGCCTCTGTGAGTCACGAGCTGAGCTCGGAGCTGGGATGACACGCGCGCACGGACCGTAGGACAGTGTCCGAGTTCAAAGGCGCTCAGCTCAAAGCTGGCACGGGACACCGGGATGGACAACTGTTTACAGGCCAAGTTTGCTTTAAAAGCGGGGCATTGAAACACAGACAGTCCGGGGGTAGTAGTTCCACCAAGGCGCTGGACTCACCATCAGAAATCCAAGATTCTGTGACGAACAGAAAATCCAACTCCTGATCTTTAAAAAAGTCATTGAGGATAAACGTCTTGTTGGAAACAGACCTTGCGTTGATTAAACACATCCTGATATTGTCCAACACAGGCACAGCCGTGGATGGAGACGCGCGCGCCAGCGGGCGCAGGTTATGAAGAACAGCTCCTCCTGGTCTGCTGGTGCGGCGCACAGGTAAACAACTCCAGGTGTTCACATGGACTGAGCGCGCGGGCAGCTGGCCAGCAGCCGGGCCCCGGGAGCACCACGGGTCAGAGAGGAGATGATCAGATCCAGAGCGAGTCCTGATAGAATAATCCACACTTTGCCTCAGTTTCACCAAAATCCCTGCACGCTTCCCACGACGTCTGCAACGTTTCCTCCATGGAGAAAGGCCAGGGTCACGCAGAAGGAACGCAGGAATCTCAGATAGGACCGGTGGAGGAGAGTGCTGGCCGCTGTTCAAAAACTCCGCGGGAATTTCAGCAAATGTACGGAGCTCCAAATGTGCCCGACGATCATACTGAAAATATGACTCGGCACACTGCACAAACCATTGTAAAAATAACAAAAATAAAATACAAGCAGAGAGAGGAAGATGAGCCTGCCCGTCCTGTCTCCGGAGGAGAGGATCGTGTGAGACCAGCAGAGCTGGTCATAAAAAAATTATATATATATATATATATATATATATATATATATATATATATATTTAGCGTTTAAGATCAAAAAAATAAAAAAATAAACGGTGCCAGCTTCATCATGAAATCCTGTTTTCACGTTAATGACAACTCAGCTGAAAATCATAAAAAGACACAAAACTATTGGATCTCAGGAATATTTCCCTCAAACATGTTTAAAGAAAAGAGACGACCTTCAGTTCAACTTTATTTTAACCCACAAATGTACAAATCACAAAACAAGAACTTTAAAGCAAAGCTAAAAATAAAATGTATATATGTGAACAAGAAAGAAAACCACACATCTAAAATGAACATTAAAAGTAGACACAATGAGTGCAAATACATCAAATGATGATGAAAACCTATAAAAATTTAAATCTAGATATTTTTGTAGAATCTGGTTCATCAGAGTTTTAATTTATATACAAATATATATATTTATATCTATAAATATATATAGATATAATTATATATAATAATATATATGTATATATATAAATACATATATATGTATATAAATATATATGAATATATATATGATATATATATGTGTGTGTGTATATATATATATATATATATATGTACACACACATATATATATATATATATATACACATATGTGTGTATATTTATATATATATATATATATATATATATATATATATATATATTTATACACATGTACATACACACATACGTACATGCATACATACATACACACAACTACAAAATAATATAAATTCTCAACCTGTACTGAAAACAGTTTCTGCGTCTCAGCGCCACCAGCTCGTGAGAGGTGGTGACGTCAATTTGAACCCCGCCCACTGGAACCTGTACTGAAAGCATAATGGAAACACAACCTGTACCGTACCGAGTAGAGTAGAGCTGTGCTGTACAGGTACTACAGGTACTAATGGAAAAGGGGCATATGTTTCTCGCCTGGCCTGGGAACGCCTTGGGATTCCCCCGAAAGAGCTGGCCCAAGTAGCTGGGAAGAGGGAAGTCTGGGCTTCCCTACTTGGGCTGCTACCCCCGCGACCCGACCTCGGATAAGCGGAAGAAAATGGATGGATGTTTAAATTTTTTTTATAGGTTTACAGATTAATATTTTTTGCTTTTAGTTTGTGAAACAAGATCGGAAGGAAGCTGGTTCTGGTTCGGTCGTCGGACCTGGTGTTACACCATATTCTGTGACCTGCAACAGTGCATGCAACACCGCCCCCTACAGTCACAATATACAGTGGTCACAGAATATGGTATAACACTGGTTCGCAACAAGCTCCAAACAGTCAGGAAGTTGATTCATTTTCTGTTTCCTTACAGTACTTGAACCGGAAGATTCATCTTTAGTGAAATATTTCCATACCATTGATGCATTTCTACCGGTTTGCCAAGACTGGGCCTGCTCCACTCCATCCGTCTGCTGGGAGGAATCCATTTGGTAGCTTCTACTAGTAGCCCGGTGCGGATCACGTGACACGTGACGCAATGACGTAACTGCGACATAATGACGTCACAGCGAATACTCAATGTGGCATTTAAAAACTCGATAGATGTCCTATGAATCGACCTGTCGATTACTCAAGTAGTCTGTTAAAGCCCTAGTATATATATCTGTATATATATATATATATATATATATATATATATATATATATATTTATATATACATACATACACACATTTGTGTGTGTTCAAACAGTAATTATAACAATATATTAATTGGGCGGGTTTTTTGTATGATGGGGCATTTTTTTAACAGATTTTTGGGCTGGAAAACCTAGACACTGGCAACACTGTCTGTGTGTGTTGAACAAGAAGTTAAAGTCTGTAAAACATCATCTGCTTGTTGAATCTTGATCTATAACAAGACCTGTATATCTCAGTAGCTGTGTGCTGCCACTCATGTTACATTGTGAACACTCGCAGCTTATACACAAGGGTGGCTTATTGATGTACAATTTTTTTTAAATTCACATTTATTCAGGTGTGCTCTTTAGTCCATAAAATACAGTAAGCATAAATGTAGGACCCTCCCATTGGATAATGATTGCTTGGGTGATCATGTTTTAGCAGCAACAAGTGATTTAACCCTAAAGGCTTCCACATACTTGGGAATACTGTGTGTACTCCGTGAGCTGCGAGAACGCAGACGGTTGAGACTTCATACTCGAGCATACACCCTGATGGGCTGCAGTCCAGCTCCGCAGGCAAGGGGCGTTTACCTTTGGGGCAAATTGAGGTCGCCGAATGGTCATTTGCTGACACTTGCTGACTGGACTGATTGACAGGTCAAAAAAAAAAAAAAAAAAACGAGCTGCCAGCAGCCCTGGGTAGAGGCAACTGGCAGCTCAGGAGCAGCAGCAGCAGTGTTCTGTGTTTATATGTTGATGATAAAAAGTTCTAAAAAAATTAAAAAACAGGGAGCCCTGCAGCCCACACATCAAACCGTTGTCACACCATATTCTGTGACCACCATATATTGTGACCGTAGGGTGCGCTGTTGCATTTTTACACCATACTTTGCAATATATGATAAACACTATCATATTTTGTGACCATCTATATTTCCATAATAGTCATGATATTAGTGGTTAGATGTTACTTAGGATATGTATTTTGTGTATTTGGTTTAGTATTTTGTATTTGCTGTATGTTTTATGCTGCTGTCTTGGCCAGGTCACTCTTGAAAAAGAGTCCAAAAAAGTTCAATCTGGTCCTCTGGACATTCAAAAAAACAAACAAAAGCAAAACAAAGCAAAAGAAATCTAGAAACGTTTCGTCTCTCATCCAAGAGACTTCCTCAGTCTGAGGTGCTGTTTTCAGCTCAGTCTCTTAAATAGCACCTTCTTAGAGTGGATCAACCAGTTTTGCTGCTGACAACCAAAACCAGCTGATCACATGCTCAAGAAGGACCATCAGCCTAACAATGGGTCATTAGCACACTGATGGCTGTTTACTACTCACAGAGGGCTGAGTGATACTAGCAATCACAGCATTGTAAGAGGGGGACAGTTGAACCCGGAGGCCTCCACCCCTGTTTAATGATGGACGATTTCTTTTTACAAAGATGACCTCCTTCCTCCTACTCTAAGAAGGTGCTATTTAAGAGACTGAGCTGAAAACAGCACCTCAGACTGAGGAAGTCTCTTGGATGAGAGACGAAACGTTTCTAGATTTCTTTTGCTTTGTTTTGCTTTTGTTTTTTTTGGTTTTTGTTAAATGTCCAGAGGACCAGATTGAACTTTTTTGGATTTTTCTACCTGGATTATTGAGCATGCATCAGGATATCTTGAAAAAGAGGTTTTTAATCTCAATGAGTTATTTTTCCTGGTTATATAAAGGATACATACATACATAATATTTGGAGAAAAGAGAGAGTCAGCCTCCTTCCTCCAATATAATAATAAATAAAATGTCTCCCTCCACTCTCCAGGATCTGTCACTGTGTGCTGCCTCAGACTAGAAAAGAAAAAGCGTAATCCACTTGCGTTCTTGTCCACAGTGTCAGATCTGCGTTTCTTCAATGGCTGATTTTAAACTGCAGACTTTATTATTCATTAGCTGTAATGATTGTGTTTCAGGCTGCATGAGCTGATCAAGCTACGAAACTTGGAGCAAAACCAGGAACCAATGAGAAGTCTGCTGCTGGACATTGATTTCAGGTAACTTCCTGTTTGTATTCATTAAAACATTTAGCTCTGGACTGTGCAGAAGTTTCAGACAGTGAAAGCCAAACTTACATCACTCAGAGGTTTTCAGCACGACCTCTTGTTCAAATTGTGAACAGTAATATTTGTGTTTGATGTTGACTGAAGGTTTGAGCTTCTTGACCGTTTCCCTTCTTAGTCCAATTTCACATTATGAACTTCCATGCTGTCATTTAAAAAAAAAACAGAAGGTGCGATTGTGCCAGTTTTTGTCCCCCGACGCAGAGCGAAGGGGACAATTGTGGGAATTGAACCCACAGTCGATCCAGTGAGCATGATAACTTGGAAAATAAGTGAGGTGCCCACTTCCAGTTTTGGTGTATGGCTGCATATAGATGGAAGAAAGTTTCCTTTCACTAGTTAGGTTTCCAAGCCAAAATCCAAGATGGCAGCCGACATGTATGACGGGGACATCCATCATGCTACTTGCATAAGTTCTGTAAATACGTATACAGGTCCTTCTAAAAAAATTAGCATATTGTGATAAAGGTCATTATTTTCCATAATGTAATGATAAAAAT